CCCCCCAACCTGAGAATTTTCATTTTCTTTCAGAACTACCCCTGGAAATTTAGAAACCCCCCTAGATTGGTCTCTGGATCCGTCACTGCTTTCTAAGCACAAGCTTTTCTTTTACAAAATTACATAAACGTACTTTTCAGTACTCTGGAGTAGTCGTTTGGAGTTTTATCCCTGTAGCTGTTGGACCGGCTAAAACACTCAAGGACTTTTAAACGGAACTACGTCAATCAAATGATTAACACGAATTGTGTGATTTATTTTTAAACAAAATATGTTTATCCAGCTTTATGTATATCATGGAGGACATTTTGGAAGAGAGCTATTGTAATCCTAAATTGTTATCCTCTTTAAATTAAGATATCTAATCTTATCGTACAGGTGGTACACTTCAAGACGTCTCAATAAAGCACGGTGGACATTTTTTATCATCATTCTTTTACTTCGAACGCAGAAAGGAATTTGTCCTCTTTCTCTTCTCTGCCGACTGCGCAAAGGCCATGCATACTTACATGTTGCAAGTTACGCCCTTAAATTACAAAGTGATCAAGCGTCTGGTTGAACGAGACTATCGTAAATGTCGAATACACCGATTTTTAAACACGTGCACGAAAAAATATAATGTAATAACAAAGTTTGACTGATACAATTTCTGAACATTGAATCTTTGAACAATCGTTTTCAATCGATTTTTTTTTTTACCTTTTAAACATTTTCACCTTTTACTTTAAGCACGGACTTAAATAGTTAATCTAATTCCGTGCTTGAAGTATTTCTTTTTATGAACGTCTTTATATTTTTAGTGATTTTTTAAAGGACCGCGGTGGCCAAGAGTTTAAAGGCGTCTGATATACCACTAGCTTTCCACCACTGGATCGCGGTTTCGAGACCTACTTGGGGCAGTCGCCAGGTACTGGCTGTAGGTCAAAAGAGTATCCGACAAGACCACAACACTTACATGCAGGACATCATCAGCCCTGACGCCAAGACCAACCCCAAGAAGTTTTGGTCTTTTGTCAAGGGAAAGAAACAAGAGTCCACCGGAATAGCTCCCCTGCGAAACGAGGATGGACTCATTCACAACGACCCCACGACAAAGGCGGACATCCTAAACTCCCAGTTTAAATCTGTTTTTACCAAGGAGAACCTGAGCAATCCCCCAAATATAGCGGCATGCCCCCATCAACATTACTAGGCCAGAAGTGGAGAAGCTGCTAAGGAACCTTAAGCCACATAAGGCAATAGGGCCAGACGCTGTCCCAGCACGTCTTCTGAAGGAGATGGCCCACGAGATTGCTCCTGCCCTCTCCCATATCTATCAGAAATCCCTAAACGTAGACATGGTTCCGGATGATTGGAAAAAGGCGCAAGTGGTTCCGATCTTCAAGAAAGGCGACAAGAGCAAGGCCTCCAATTACAGACCGGTCTCCCTTACCGCCATATGTTCCAAGATCCAGGAACACATCCTGCACTCCAACATTATACGTCACTTAGACCATCATTCCATCTTGACAGAAGCCCAACACGGATTCCGGAGTAGGCGCTCATGCGAATCGCAGCTTATCTACACCGTGCACGAGCTTGCGAAGGGCCTTGCCGAAGGCACACAAATCGACGTCATCCTCTTGGATTTCTCCAAAGCCTTCGACAAGGTGCCTCACCAACGCTTACTCCACAAGCTAACCTACTACGGGGTCCGCGACAACACATTAAAATGGATAAGCAGCTTCCTAAGTAACAGGACACAGAGAGTGTTAGTGGAAGGGTCAACATCTTCAGAGGCATCAGTAGATTCAGGTGTCCCCCAAGGATCGGTGTTAGGCCCACTCTTGTTTTTGGCCTTTATAAACGACCTACCAGATGTCGTAAGTCTCCAGTCAGACTCTTTGCTGACGACTGCGCCATATATCGCATCATCAACAAGAGGGAGGATACTGCCATCCTACAGCACGACCTCAATGCCTTGCAAAAGTGGGAGCGAGACTGGCAGATGGAGGTTCACCCGGACAAGTGTATCACCATCAACATTTCAAGGAAAAGAAACCCTATCCACACCGACTACCAACTCCACGGCCAAACCCTAGAGACTGTCCACGGAAGCAAATACCTTGGAGCCTATATCAGCTCGGATCTCTCCTGGCGTGAGCACATAAACCAAACATCTGCCAAGGCTGCAAGATCGGTTGGATTCCTTCGGCGAAACCTTAGGGGATGCACAAGAGAAGTCAAGCCTCAGGCTTATACTACTCTCGTTAGGCCCGTGCTTGAGTATGCCTCCACTGTCTGGGATCCCCATCTTCAACAACAGAAGGACCAACTTGAGAGAGTCCAGCGACAAGCTGCCAGATTCCCCACAGGGGACTACTTCAACAGAGATCCAGGATGTGTCACAAACATGCTGCGTCAACTAGCTTGGGAGCCACTAGAACAACGAAGAGCCAGAAACAGGACGCTCATGTTCTACAAAATTATCAACAGTCTGGTTGAGGTACCAATACATCAGGACATTGCCGTAACATCAGGAAGAACCAGAGGAGCTACTGCTAACAACATACGGCAAATTCCAACAAAGCTCGACACATACCGATACTCGTTTGTACCACGTACCATCATCACGTGGAATGCAATCCCACCCGACATACGATCGTCTCCCACCCTGGACAGCTTCAGGCAGGCCCTCATACAGTACGAGGCAGCCGACCACCAATACGCTATGTAGACCCCACTGTTTTTACCTCTTTTAAACTGTACATACGGAAGTTTTAGCTGCGGTCGGCATAAGTCGCGCTGGAGAACTCAACACTCTAGATAGAGTATTCTCCATTAAAGGAAGAAGAAGAAGGAGGTCGGTGGTTTTTCTCCGGGAACTCCGGCTTTCCGCCACCATCAAAACCTGGCACGTGCTGAAATGACCAAAGCTGTTAAAGGGACATCAAGTGAAAACGCGTTTTTTTTAATGAATGTATGTATTGTATGCACTTCCACTTATGTTACCTCGCTATCCCCATATTCATAGTCCGCTCCAAATGTCCAGTTTGACCACTTGAATTATTCGGGAAAGCCCTGCTAAAAATAGCGCCGATAATGTCACCTGACTAGGCAGTAAAACACAAGTGGTGCGAGCGAGATGAAACGGTTTCCAAAGGGGCCCCCAGGCAAACTGCAACTTCTTACCGTACTTTGAAACCAAGTTATATGATTTCTAAGTCCGTATTCAAACTTATTGAACAGTAATTATTTTCCCTTTGAATGTGGTAGATGGAATAACATTCCAAGAGAAGAAAGAAAATGTATTATTTGCGACCTGAACTTGGAGACGAAAATCATTATTTGTTTAATTGTAAAGTTTATTTCTGAAAACTCCACATTACCATAGAACGAAGGGTAAGTTTTTATATCAGGTATATTAAATCGTAATTTTAAAATGTTAAACAGTCACTAACAAGAAATTACCTTAAAAATTAAAGGACTGTTCTCCATATTGGTAATAAATATGGACAAAATGTATTTAGAATTTGTTCAATATATAGACATTTACTAACCCTACATACATTTTTTTTGTGGAAAACGACTATAGCACAGGGGAGGCAACTCACACACAAACTGAGGTTATGGCAGAGGGGAAAAAATTGTGCATCAATATGCACGAACAAATCACATTATAAACAACCTGTAAATTATCTACGTTCTCAAATGCATCAGTTGAAATCAGCTAAGGGAAGCTAACTACTCAAATAAAATTATGAAAAACAAAAAAGCGGTCGTCTTGGGGCAACGCTATCACGATTGGGATGAAAAGTACGTTATTTTTTATACTTTAAAGAAATGTTACTTTGTCAGCATTCGTATGAACGGTACATTATACCACGATAATGAGTTCCCCAACTAACTGAGTAGCTGTCATTCAATCATTACCAATCATTTTGTTTAACAAACCAAGGTAGCATTACCGGCGAAAGTGTCATGGCGTTTTCTAACATTACGGAAGTATAAGAGTTATCTACCTTGGAGCGACCTCTGATCATGGGTGGAGTATCCTTTTTCTGGCCGAGTCCCGAATGAATAAGGCTCGTTTGGCAGACGGGCCTAAAAAGCCCTAATGTTTTCAAAACTGTTATGTAAATATCATCAACAAGTAAGTAATATGATTAACCTTCGTATGCTGAATGTAAGATTATGTGTATTTAATTCATTCCACGAACGGAAGGGATTCAATCCACTGAAAATGTTATCAGCGGTTGGGCCGCCATGTATCTTCAAATTATCATGTACGTTTTTGTAATTAACTTCCCTGTCCGTTAACAATGGCGTTAAGTCCCGGTATCACGTTTCTACCATCTAAATTTAAAACAGTACACGAAATATTCAACTCCATGAATTTGGAAGTCTTCTGAAGATTATAAGCAGTAACACTATACTCTAATCAAAAACGAAAGTGAAAACGAAGTTTGGGATTACCAGGGGTGGATCGAGATTTTTTTCCAGAAAAAAAACATGTCATGTAACACAAAACATAATTAGGTACCAGTCTTTGTATTGCACTTTCGCAAGGATCTCAATCGAAGTCTTTACTTAATCATTCTTTTGCTCTTGTTTATTTTCTAGTAAAACGCCTGAATATAATTTAAGTAGTTTATCTATTTTAATTTCCCAGGGACGTATATACTGTCCCTGAATTTCCTGATGAAAAAATAACCTTTTTAGGTTTCTAATAAATATCTATCATATCTTAAAGCTGACAGTGCAAGGTAAAAAGCTTTCAACTGAGATTTAAATAAAAATGTTTTTTTTTAATTTCTTTTCTGGTTTTGAGATCTTCCCCACTGACAATCTCTTCCGGCTGTCGTTTCTAAGTAGGCGCCGACATTTTAGTTTGTCCCTGCTTGGTAACGATAATAGGTCTCGCTGGGTACAAAAAGCGCATTAATTTTAAAACAGAACACGGGATATTCAACTTAATGGGTTTGGCTGAAGAGTTTTGAGATTATAAGCAGTTCCACTAGTACCCTAATCAAAAGTGAAAGTGAAGTTTGGGATTACCAGGGGTGTATCCAGTTTGTTTTCAGGGGAGTGTCAACATTCTAGATTTCCAGTTGATTTCGTGACGCATGTTGTCTGAAGTAACATGTCATGTTACAAAAAACTAAGTTATACACTAAGTCCTGACATTGTACTTTTTCAAGGGTCTTGGTTTTTTTACTAATAATATGCCTAAATCGAATTAATTTTATATTATTCTTTTAGTAATTTATCTATTTGAATTGAAAAAAATACATCCTATCTTCACAACCAGCTAGTCTATCATGCAAGACAAAACCCAAGATATATATTTTCCACTTAAATTTCTAAATATACCCGGTGTCGCATGGTATTGCGAAATTAAGGGTTCAAACGATTTCTATTCTGACAACTTTTTTCCATTCTTTTTCTTTAAGTTTACTTCAATTTGATGTATTCTGTCTGAAATGACAAAAATTAAGTCAAGGGTAGAGAAAATCAGGGTGGGGCCCAGGGGCACTTCACTTTACCATAATGGTGAAATGAAGGATTTTAGCATTTTTTTTCCTTTTTGACTTGTTTCAACCAATTCTGGTTTAGATTACATCAGTTTGATGTCCTGAATATGAAAATCACAAAAATTATGTCTGGGGTAGAGAAAATCAGGGTGGGGCAGGGGCCCTTCACTTTACCATTATGGGGAAATGAAGTGTTTTAGCTTTTTTTTTATACAGTTAAAGTATGGGGTTGAGAGATATAGCAATTTTCTGGTGTCCCGAGACCAGGTATATTTCCTGAGGCGAAGCCGAGGGAAATAGGCATGGTCAAGGGACACCAGAAACTTACTATAGGCCTGGACTGGATAAATCGCTGGTGACCAGGATGCTCAGTTTTTTAGAGCACCCATGTATAGTTCGAAGGGTCCTGAGTTTGAATCGGTCTGGCCGTTGCATTGCTCTTTTCTCTGTTATATTTGGTGCCCAACGAAATATGCCCACGGAAGGTGGTATAGGGTCCTGTGTGTCTTCAGGGTCGAAGACTTTGTTAAAGGAGGAAGGAATGTAGCAGAACTGGATTTGGTAGATCGTCGGCAATCGGGTAGTTCAATTGGTCAGAGCATCCGTCTAGGGTTTGAACCTTGGTATGGCCGTTGCATTGCTCTTTCCCCTGTTACTATAGAATAGGTATAAATGTGGTATCAACGACGAATGCATGTAATATTTGTTTTATTAACTTCACAATGCTAGAAACACAAAAGATATCTTTGTTTAAAAAACTGTTTAACAGGCAGGTAAGGAGTCCAGTATCTACATCTACATAGTAATGACCACCTTCATCTATTTGAAGATCATGTCATGTGATAGTTGGGTGCTAAGCCAAGAGAGAAAAAGATAACATATAGTGAAAGGGACTATTTATAAAGTATGGGAGTTAGAATTGTTTTTTGTTTAGGGACAGTTTAAAGCAGTCAGAAGAGGTAATGGAGGTTATATCTGGAGGGAGTGTTATGCTAGTCTACTATGGTACGAGGGAAGAAGGATTGTTGTTGTACCTGTGTTCTACATGAGAGTGTTTGATATGAGTTCCGGTGTACCTGTGTTCTACATGAGAGTGTTTGATAGGAGTTCCGATGTACCTGTGTTCTACATGAGAGTGTTTGATAGGAGTTCCGGTATACCTGTGTTCTACATGAGAGTGTTTGATAGGAGTTCCGGTATACCTGTGTTCTACATGAGAGTGTTTGATAGGAGTTCCGGTATACCTGTGTTCTACATGAGAGTGTTTGATAGGAGTTCCGGTATACCTGTGTTCTACATGAGAGTGTTTGATAGGAGTTCCGGTATACCTGTGTTCTACATGAGAGTGTTTGATAGGAGTTCCGGTATACCTGTGTTCTACATGAGAGTGTTTGATAGGAGTTCCGGTATACCTGTGTTCTACATGAGAGTGTTTGATAGGAGTTCCGGTATACCTGTGTTCTACATGAGAGTGTTTGATAGGAGTTCCGGTATACCTGTGTTCTACATGAGAGTGTTTGATAGGAGTTCCGGTATACCTGTGTTCTACATGAGAGTGTTTGATAGGAGTTCCGGTATACCTGTGTTCTACATGAGAGTGTTTGATAGGAGTTCCGGTATACCTGTGTTCTACATGAGAGTGTTTGATAGGAGTTCCGGTATACCTGTGTTCTACATGAGAGTGTTTGATAGGAGTTCCGGTATACCTGTGTTCTACATGAGAGTGTTTGATAGGAGTTCCGGTATACCTGTGTTCTACATGAGAGTGTTTGATAGGAGTTCCGGTATACCTGTGTTCTACATGAGAGTGTTTGATAGGAGTTCCGGTATACCTGTGTTCTACATGAGAGTGTTTGATAGGAGTTCCGGTATACCTGTGTTCTACATGAGAGTGTTTGATAGGAGTTCCGGTATACCTGTGTTCTACATGAGAGTGTTTGATAGGAGTTCCGGTATACCTGTGTTCTACATGAGAGTGTTTGATAGGAGTTCCGGTATACCTGTGTTCTACATGAGAGTGTTTGATAGGAGTTCCGGTATACCTGTGTTCTACATGAGAGTGTTTGATAGGAGTTCCGGTATACCTGTGTTCTACATGAGAGTGTTTGATATGAGTTCCGGTGTGCGTGTGTTCTACATGAGAGTGTTTGATAGGAGTTCCGGTGTACCTGTGTCTTGTGTGGCGGGATGGAGGTATGAGTTGGTCTTTAGTTATGTTGACTTTGTCGTGTATAGTTTTGTGTAGTGTTGTCAGTCGCATGACTCTCCTTCTGTCTTCAAGTGATTGCCAGTTAAGGTGTTGAAGCATGAAGTATGAATTGTAGAACAAGATCTTGAGCAAAATATGTCACCGAAAATGTTCCTTTATCAAGAGGATTTTTTAAACAGACTATAGAATATATTGAACCTGAGACAAAGACATGTTAAAATTAGATTACGTAAGGGTCAAATATTCATGATAAAGGGACGTCATATCCGATATAGCCACTAATATACTTCCTTTTTCTGGCCGAATTCAGTTTGGTGAAGACATGCTGAGCGGACGAACATAAAAACCCGAAGATTTTTAAAACGTGGAGTCAACATCATCAACAAGTAAGTTGAAATGATAAAATTTGTAAACTGTTACAGTTCAAATGTCTTGTGTTCTCGTTACCAAATTTGGTCTGAAGTTACCTTTATGTCAGATTCATGTAACGAAAGAAATAGTTGAGCAAAACAGGCCCTCTGGGCCTCTTGTTTAAAAGGCATATTTTTGCGCATCCCAGGTTATTTTTAGGGCAATCAATGTATATATACAATATGTACTTGATATCCTCTCTCTAGATCTTTGTATATTTTTTTCATACTATGTTGATTTTTGTGTTTACTTTCAACTATGATTCATGACAGTATATTATAAATATATTCTGATTTTAATTTCTTACCAAAAATACCACTTTAAAACCTGAAAAAAAATATATGATTATTTTATATGCTGACCATTATAGTTAATGTGTTATTATTATTTATTATCATATTAAGGAATGTTGAAATCATCTCAAACTCATTATAATTGGCAGAAAATACAAAAGAAATAAATAAGTGTTATTAATTTCAATATAAAGTTAAATTTAAAAAAATGCTGGAGGCTAGTTAATGCTTGCTTGAAGCAAAATATTATATTGATAACTGTATTTTGTTGAGAGGACAAAAGGTAAAATTTAAAAAAAAAGAAAAAAAAAATCTGTTTGAAAAAATATTTAATTAAAAATGCATATCCTATTCTGCTATATTAAATATGTTATAAACAAACTAATTTTTTTTTAAAGAAGAAGTTTCTTTTATTCTCTCTTGAGTAAACAAAAAAGCTACTTAAAATCCGGATTTATCTGACTGGTTATCCGGTTCAGTATTCACTATACTGTAAACAAGCCAATGTTGTGGGCGGTAAACAGCGGTCAGATTAGCATGATGTTACGATTGTGGCTCACTTTCTCAGTAAGAACCAAATTAAGAACCATAACATTACAGCATATGGCGATTTCCGCGACGGACATGGTAAATGAATTGTTGAATGCAAAGAATATT